AACAATATTAGTATAATTGTTCTAAGACTGAATATTTTTGATATCTTTAGCAACAACCATAAATTCGTCTGGTCGTTCAGCAGATATTTTTTTGAGGGGAGAAGCAAGAATTTCTGTCTTTCCTTGGGAAACGACTATTTCTTGCATAGGAGGATGAAAAGATTGAATAGATTCTCCGGAGGGTGTTTTCCAAATTTTTGTAGAAATATCATTATTTTGAATAGTTTTCTTCTTCTTTTGAGTAGGTTTTTTGTTAAAAACTTTGAAATATGCCCACACATAAAAACTTAAATTTTCCGGGTATTCATAAAATTCTTCCCAGAAGGATTCAATTTCTTCCTTTTCGAAATAAATTTCGAAAGTTCTTAACTTCTTTTGTCTGATCAGTTTTGAATTCATTTCTTCTATTAGTAAAAGAAATTACATTACATTGTTGATCAAGTTTTTCAGAAGGCGGTAACATATCCGATAAAGTCGACGAACCAGGTTGCTCAGGATCATCTTCTTTTTCTGTATTACCGAAATGAGCTCTTGGAACATTTGGATCAAAATCAACTCCTTTAAAAGAAGAAGTTGAATGTCTAGCACATTGAAAGAAATTAGATTGAGATCCATCATCTATTCTAGATGAAGAACTTCTTTGAAAAGTATTTGAGGAAGATGGTTTGTCAAAATAACTCTATCACTTCCATCAGGGAAATGAATAATTTGTTAAAGATTTCTTTTGATAGGAGTCGGAGTTGGATTTTGAGCATTTTCAAAATCCCAATGTAAACCCCTTTCTTNTCTCTGGATCATCTTTTTTTCTGTGTTATCGAAATGAGCCCCTGGAACATTTGGATCAAAATCAACTCCTTTAAAAGAAGTAGTTGAATGTCAAGCACATTGAAAGAAATTAGATTGAGATCCATCATCTATTCTAGATGAAGAACTTTTTTGAAAAGTATTTGAGGAAGATGATTCGTCAAAGATAACTCTAACACTTCCATCAGGGAAATGAATAATTTGTTCAGGATTTCTTTAAATATGATTGAAAATTAGGAGGAAAAGAGTTGAAGATGGGAGAAATTATCCATCAATTTGAAAAATCTTACTAATTATTCCTAATAATTAGGAGTTACTTACCGTTTCCATATTTGTATCCACCCCACTAAATACAAGTTTAGCATCTCAATTACATATGTTTTACTAAAACCAAATTTCTCAGTATTAGTAAAAGTTTATATTATGTGTTTTAAAAAATAATTAATATAGTATTGAATATTTTATTAGTATTGTATGTTCATTTTTTATAAGCATTAAAAATGATGATAATTCAGTTACTCATTAGATAAAAAAAATAATGGAAAAAATAATTTATATGCATAAATGTTTTTAGATAAGATACTTTTTTGGTTTTTACATTTTAAGGTAAAACATTTATGTTACAGAGAAAACGATTATTTTTTAATTTAGAAAATCATTTATGTACTTGATAAGTAAACATTTTAATTTTAGTCAAATGTATATCTCTTAATTCATTTATTCTTCTTGTTCATCTATACCACAAAGCTGGTCGATACCGCTATGGTTGTTGAAAATAAGGGTCCAACCAATGTCTAGCATAATCAAACAAATAAGTAAGCAAAACATTACAATTCAGTTTATTCAACATTTTCATATCATGTACGTAATTTCATAAAACTTTTATTCATATATGAAAATTATAGTGGAGTTAGTAATCCTTTCACTATGATTGTATCAAAGTAATATCATCAATTTGATCAAGTCAAGATAGTTACTACGCAATACATTTTCATAAGTCTATAATGCATGCTACATCAATGTTGACGAAAAAAAATTATGTGATACTTTTTCATCAACTTTTGGTCTTAAGACTATTAGATTAGCCTGAAAAAGAGAAAATTCTAGCCAATTGCAGGGATGGGGGATGAAACGGATGAAAATTCTACAATGCCAAAGTTAGCAATGTTAAGATGAGTCCGAACTAATTTGAGTATATAAGTATACAATCATGCTACATGTACATTGTTCTTGACATGAAGTTTTACACTGTTCCATGTGTCGCGGCATGATTGGCCAATTTGAAAATAAAAAACAATTTCTCGCCCATTCAATTTTGAATTTGTAAAGACATGTCAACCATCATGTACAAAATTAATGTACAAATGGTTTAATCCATAAACATATTGGTGTTGTGTAAACATTTGGTCCGCTCTTAATTGCCATGCAACCATTTTTGTAGAGTGAATGATGAATTGTCGTCTTCCAATCCTTTCAATTGACTATGACATGTGTTGGGACTTGATCCACTCAAGTACTTTCGTAGGTCCTCAATAGTCCATTAGAGCGGTGAAACAAAGTAATCATGACCTATATTATAGTTTCCAAGTCTTGGTTTCAATGTTGTGAACACTAATTGAAGTAAAGCTCAGAGCACAACTCTCTCCCATAGCACAACATTTATTGTGTTACAAGGATGAGCTTTCTCTTTCTTAAGTTAAACCATATCATATGGCCTCGTCTAAACCATAACTGTTTTGCTTTTTTGAAGTCTTTGTCTTTATGGCCTGTATACACATGAAAACTTTTTATCGCGTCTCGAAAATTCAATCTTCTAGAAGTCATTGTTAAGTGGCTCACAATTTTTACGTTCTCTTCAAAATGGGATTTATCATCTATTTAGCAACATCTCTTAACACCATGAGTTTTTCTGATCCAATGTTTTACTCACTTTATTTTTCTTCTTAGATACTTTATTTTCTTTTAGGATCTTTGTTCTTTTATTTTTCATAGTTGGGACATTAGGGGAGGCAAGCACATTTCTTTGCTTATGGATTAAACAAAGGTGATCATGAGTTTTTATTTAAATAAATATCCTCTTCCATTTAATATTTTAAAATGATGAATTATACCCAGGGACGGACCTAGCACTTGCCCAGCCCCCGAGGCGGCCCGTGCTGGGTCCGTCGGAAGTTTCAGAATTGTCTTCGAGAGCTGGGAAGAAAGGTGAAGAAGAAGCGTTGGAGTCTCTGGATCGTGGAAGGGAGATGGGCCTGGAATTGGAAGCAGCCACTAGGAAGCCTGAGATTTTTTTTGGGCCTTATTTTAAAAAAAGGCCCAATTAAAGAGCTCAATCCATCATCCATGGCCATGGGTTTTGTTTGAATTCCATTGGCAATGGCCCAATAGCCACAATCCAAATATGAAATATCCCATTCTTTTTGTCCAAAGTCGGTTGAGACTTGAGAGGAGGGAGTAGGGAGAGTTGGAGTCTTGGAGACGACGGGACGATGGTTTTGGGCTGCTGTTTTTTACGCCACCGACTCTGTTCGGAGGACGATGGAGGCTCAAGGCTGGAGCTGTGAGATTTAGGTTGGACTTTGGAGCAGTGGAGTGGTCCTAGTGGAGCTTCTGTGTTCGGGAATCGGGAGCTTCCGATTCGGCTTCGTCTCTTCTAGCGGTTTTACCCGTGACTGCCTCAGGTAGTGACTAGTAAAATATCGGGTATGTATTTTAATTTGCCTATTTCCTATTTGTTATTAATGAATTATGAAAAATGACTAAATGAGAAATGACTAAATGTTAACACTACAAGCTTCAGTACTTTTATTTATGATCAATATATAAGTTGTGTCGCACTCTACTTTTCCTAATAAGTACACAACTTATATTATCATAAGTGGTCATAGACAATAATACAACGATACAAAATGAATAAAAAATCACAATTTGTTCATTATCAAAATTTTATTTTAAATTAGCAAAACAATATTATATGGGATACTACTCTACATTGACCCATCGTTCAATCTTTCCCACAGATCAAGAAACTATCTTGTGTATCCACATGGCCGAGTCTAAGGCATCATTTTGATTATACTTGCTGGGATTTAGTTTCCATTCCAAAAGGTTAATTCACCACCATCTCCATGCATAGCTGACTTGAGACTTTTGTTCTAACTTTGCCAACAGTACTATTATTACAATGTGCGTAATAGGTAATTGTTGATCTACAGCCTCATTATTATCACGAGGCCTTTTTTTTGTATTTGACTCACTTTGCAAGTTATAAGGAAAATTATTTTCTAAAAATGTAGCATCCCTTGATTCAATAATCGTATTAACATGCACGTCGAGTATTTCAGACTT